AATGGGCTAAATGCACCAATCAAAAGACACAGACTGGCAAATTGGATAAAAATCCAAAACCCATCAGTGTGCTGTATCCAGGAAACCCATCTCACATGCAAGGATACACAAAGGCTCAAAATAAAGGGATGGAGGAAGATTTACCAAGCAAATGGAGAGCAAAAAAAAGCAGGAGTTGCAATTCTCATCTCTGATAAAATAGACTTTAAAGCAACAAAGAAGGTCATTACATAATGGTAAAAGGATCCATACAACAAGAAGAGCTAATGATCCTAAATATATATGGACCCAATACAGGAGCACCCAGATATATGAGGCAAGTTCTTAGTGACTTACAAAGAGACTTAGACTCCCACACAATAATAGTGGGAGACTTTAACACTCCACTGTCAATATTAGACAGATCAACCAGACAGAAAATTAACAAGGATATCCAGGGCTTGAACTCAGACCTGGAACAAGCAAACCTGATAGACATTTACAGAACTCCCTACCCCAAATCCACAGAATATACATTCTTCTCAGCACCACATCACACCTACTCTAAAATTGACCACATAATTGGAAGTAAAGCACTCCTCAGCAAATGCAAAACTACTGAAATCATAACAAACAGTCTCTCAGACCATAGTGCAATCAAGTTAGAACTCAGAATTCAGAAACTAACCCAGAACCGCACAGCTTCATGGAAACTGAACAACTGGCTCTTGAATGTTGACTGGATAAACAATGAAATGAAGGCAGAAATAAAGAAGTTCTTCGAAACCAATGAGAACGAAGACACAACATACCAGAATCTCTGGGACACATTTAAAGCAGTCTCTAGAGAAAAATATATAGCAATAAGTACCCATATGAGAAGATAAGTACCCAATTATGGAGAGATTCAAAATTGACACCCTATCGTCAAAATTGAAAGAGCTAGAGGAGCAAGATCAAAAAAACTCAAAACCCAGCAGAAGACAAGAAATAACTAAGATCAGAGCAGAACTGAAGGAGATAGAGACACGAAAAACCCTTCAAAAAAATCAATAAATCCAAGAGCTGGTTTTTTGAAAAGATCAACAAAATAGACCACTAGCCAGACTGATAAAAAAGAAAAGAGAGAACAACCAAATAGTACCCAATTATGGAGAGATCCAAAATTGACACCCTATCGTCAAAATTGAAAGAGCTAGAGGAGCAAGATCAAAAAAACTCAAAACCCAGCAGAAGACAAGAAATAACTAAGATCAGAGCAGAACTGAAGGAGATAGAGACACAGAAAACCCTTCAAAAAAATCAATAAATCCAAGAGCTGATTTTTTTAAAAGATCAACAAAATAGACCACTAGCCAGACTGATAAAAAAGAAAAGAGAGAACAACCAAATAGATGCAATAAAAAACGATAAAGGGGAAATCACCACAGATTCCACAGAAATTCAAACCATCATCAGAGAATATTACAAACAACTCTATGCACATAAACTAGTAAACCTGGAAGAAATGGATAAATTTCTGGACACCTGTGTCCTCCCAAGCCTAAACCAGGAGGAAGCCGAAATTACAAATAGGCCAGTAACAAGGTCTGAAGTCGAGGCAGCAATTAAGAGCCTACCACACAAAAAAAGTCCAGGTCCAGACGGGTTCACAGCCGAATTCTACCAGACACACAAAGAGGAGCTGGTACTATTCCTTCTGAAACTATTCCAAACAATCCAAAAAGAGGGAATCCTTCCCAAATAATTTTATGAGACCAACATCATTCTATTACCAAAACGCGGCAGAGACCCAACAAGAAAAGAAAACTTCAGGCCAATATCCATGATGAACATAGATGCAAAAATCTTCAATAAAATACTGGCAAGCTGATTGCAACAGCACATCAAAAAACTTATCCATCATGATCAAGTAGGATTCATCCTGCGGATGCAAGGCTGGTTCAACATATGCAAGTCTATACACGTAATTCACCACATAAACAGAACCAAAAGCAAAAACCACATGATTATCTCAATTGACGCAGAGAAAGCATTTGACAAAATTCAACAGCCCTTTATGCTAAAAACCCTCAATAAACTCGGTATCGGTGGAATGTATCTCAAAGTAATAAAACTATTTACAACAAACCAACAGCTAATATCATACTGAATGGGCAAAAACTGGAAGCATTCCCTTTGAAATCTGGCACTAGACAAGGATGCCCTCTTTCACCCCTCCTATTCAATATAGTACTGGAAGTTCTAGCCAGAGCAATCAGGCAAGAAAAAGAAATAAAGGGTATTCAAATAGGAAAGGTGGAAGCCAAATTGTCACTATTTGCAGACGACACGATAGTATACCTAGAAGGCCCATTGCCTTAGCCCAAAAACTCCTGAAACTGATAAGGAACTTCAGCAAAGTCTCAGGATATAAAATCAATGTACAAAAATCACAAGCATTCCTATACACCAATAACAGACTTAAAGAGAGCCAAATCAAGAATGAACTGCCATTCACAATTGCTACAAAAAGAATAAAATACCTAGGAATACAACTCACAAGGAACGTAAGGGACCTATTCAAGGAAAACTACAAACCACTGCTCAATGAAATAAGAGAGGACACAAACAGATGGAGAAACATTCCATGTTCATGGTTAGGAAGAATTAGTATCGTGAAAATGGCTATTGCCCAACGTAATTTACAGAATCAACACTATCCCCATCAAGCTACTTTCTTCACAGAACTGGAAAAAACCACATGAACTTCATATGGAACCAAAAGAGAGCCTGCATAGCCAAGTCAATTCTAAGCAAAAAGAACACAGTGGGGGGCATCACACTACCGGATTTCAAACTATACTACAAGGCTACAGTAATCAAAACAGCATGGTACTGGTACCAAAACAGAGATATAGACCAATGGAACAGAACAGAGGCATCGAAGGCAACACAGCATATCTACAACCATACAATCTTGGATAAACCTGACAAAAGCAATGGGGAAAGGATTCCCTGTTTAATAAATGACGTTGGGAAAACTGGCTAGCCATGTGCAGAAAGCAGAAACTGGACCCCTTCCTGACACCTTACATTAAAATTAACTCCAGGTGGATTAAAGACTTAAACATAAGACCTGGCACCATAAAAACCCTAGAAGGAAATCTAGGCAAAACCATTCAGGACATAGGACTAGGCAAGGACTTCATGACCAAAATGCCAAAAGCATTGGCAACAAAAGCCAAAATAGACAAATGGGACCTAATCAAACTCCACAGCTTCTGCACGGGAAAAGAAACAGTCACTAGAGTGAATTGGCAACCAACAGAATGGGAAAAAATTTTTGCAGTTTACCCATCTGACAAAGGGCTGATATCCAGAATTTACAAAGAACTCAAACAGATTTACAAGAAAAAAACAAAGAAGCCCATTCAAAAATGGGCAAAGGATATGAACAGACACTTTACAAAAGAAAACATACATGAGGCCAACGATCATATGAAAAAATGCTCATCATCACTGGTCATTAGAGAGCTGCAAATCAAAACCACATTGAGATACCATCTCACACCAGTTAGAATGGCGATCATTAAAAAATCTGGAGACAACAGATGCTGATGAGGATGTGGAGAAATAGGAACACTTTTATACTGTTGGTGGGAGTGTAAACTAGTTCAAGCATTGTGGAAGACAGTGTGGCGATTCCTCAAGGCCTTAGAAATAGAAATTCCAATTGACCCAGCAATCCCATTACTGGGTATATATCCAAAGGACTATAAATCGTTCTACTATAAGGACACATGCACACGAATGTTCATTGCAGCACTGTTTACAATAGCAAAGACCTGGAACTAACCCAAATGCCCATCGATGATAGACTGGATTGGGAAAATGTGGCACATATACACCATGGAATATTATGCAGCAATCAAAAATGATGAGTTCGTGTCGTTTGTAGGGACATGGATGAATCTGGAGAACATCATTCTCAGCAAACTGACACAAGAACAAAAATGAAATACCGCATATTCTCACTCATAGGTGGGTGATGAAAAATGAGAACACATAGACACAGGGAAGGGAGTACCAAACACTGGGGTCTATTGGGTGGAAGAGGGGAGGGACAGCGGTTGTGGGGGAGCTGGGGAGGGATAGCCTGGGGAGAAATGCCAAATGTGGGTGAAGGGGAGGAAGGCAGCAAAACACACTGCCATGTGTGTACCTATGCAAATGTCTTGCATGTTCTGCACATGTACCCCAAAACCTAAAATGCAATAATAAAAAAAACAAAAGAGAGGAAAAAAAAGAAGAAAAAAAAAGTAAAAACCAATTGGTTGAAACATAATGGGGGAGGTGAAGTGCCTTTTGCAATCTCAAAATCATATAATGCATTTTAAAGTACACAATAAATTACTTGGTTATCTGTGTCACTGCAGCAATGGATGATCATTGATTGCTTGGAGACGTCAGGTATTGTGCAGGTCCTCTAAGAAGTGTATCTGGGGCTGGGTGTGGTGGCGAATGCTTGTAATCCCAGCACTTGGGAGGCCGAGGCTGGCAGATCACTTGAGGTCAGGAGTGAGTTTGAGACCAGCCTGGCCAACATGGTGAAACCCTTCTCTGCTAAAAATACAAAAATTAATTGGGCATAGTGGCAGATGCCTGTAATCCCAGCTACTCAGGAGGCTGAGGCAGGAGAATCACTTGAACCTGGGAGGTGGAGGTTGCAGTGAGCTGAAATCATGCCATTTTACTCCAGCCTGGGTAACAAGAGTGAAACTCTGTCTCAAAAAAAAAAAACAAAAAGTGTATTTGGCTTCCTTAATACTGAACTGTTTCCCTGCTGAATCATTTCTCTGGAAGACACATGCTTTTCTCAGTTCAGTAAATCTGGGTATGTTACACACTTCTGATCTTTCAGTAACACAATAACATTTTGTCATTTGGATGTAGGGAGATACCGATGTTAGTGAAATAATGGAAGAGCTCACATAATTGTGCCTTTTTCCAGTCTGCTTGAAGGGCCAGAGGATAAGCACATGGACTGGAAATTGGAAGGGAGTACTCAGAAAGCAGAGTCACCTGTGCAGCAGGGACAAGAAGCCATCCTAGAGGAGACAGGTGATGATGGACTTCCTGAAGGCTTCCAACTTCTGCAGATTGATGCGGAAGGCGAGTGCCAGGAGGGAGAGACCCTGGCTGCGGGCAGTACAGCATGCTGCTCAGTGAGTGCATTCTGGCCATAGGCCTTGCGTACTGGAATGTCTCAGAAACCCATTTTAAGGGTGGGTACTGGTAATGAAAAGAGAGACTGGGAATGAGTTGTGTATTTTAAGTGATGAATTAATTTTCTGCTAACTGGTCTAAAGTTTTAGTTTCATTTGAGTCATAGGAAAAGTAAAGTTCAAAAGGAATTTTTGATATACCTCTGAAGTGTCAGGAAATCTAAACCCTGTCACTAATGAATTTTCTGTGACCTTCAGCAGGTCACATCTCTTTTTCTGGGGCTCTGTTTTCTCTAAACGCAATCCAGTCTAGGTTTGTTTTTAAGAGTAATTTCCTTTTTCTCTCCAAACTTTATATATAAATGAGAAAAATAAGTAACTGTTTCTAATGTTTGTTTTCCTTTTTGGAGCTTACGAAGTTCTCAATTTTGTTTTCTGGATAAGAAAAATGTACAGAGAAAACAGAGACACTGGGAAAAGATAGTTGCAGCAAAGAAGAGCAAAAGAAAGCAAGAAAAAGAACGAAGAAAAGCCAATCGTGCAGAAAATCCAGGTGACAATAAATGAGACTGCTAGCATAATCATATTTATTTTTTGCAAATGTGTCTGCATGTTCCAAGGAGAGTAGGAATTTTGTTTAAGTAAAAGAAACATCTGGGATGTAGGACCCACTGTCCTATTTTCTTGGGAATCAAAGCATCAAAGAAAGCAAAATTTAAGGCTGCTTTTCAAATATAAGCTGTCTAATTAACTTATGTGTTTATAAGCTCAGAATAGAAGGAATGATGGCAAACAGCTAATATTTATTCAGTGCTATGTGCTAGGTTCAGTTTTAAGTATTTTACATGGATTACCTCAATGGAGAGGAACTGTTATTCCCATTTTGTAGGTGAAAAGACTGAGGCTTAGAGAAATTAAGTAACATAATTATGCCCAGGATAATTCAGCTAATCAATGAACAAACTGAACTTGGATTTAAACCCTGCTGTGTGCTCCAAAGCCCATATTCCTCACGAATCTGCTTTGTGTAAATCTCCTAATGAATGAGTATCTTACACCAGTATCAAGTTTCTCTTTATATGAAAAAAACAAAAACAAAAAAACCTCAGCTGGCTAAGGAGATTTGTTTCTTACAGAATATTATTCCTCTGGTTTTCCACTTTTATTTCTTTCTGATATTTCTGCTTCAGGCATCTGTCCTCAGCACAGCAAACGTTTCCTGAGAGCTTTAACCAAAGAAAAACTTTTGGAAGCCAAACACTCAGGACCAAGACTATGTATCGATTTGAGTATGAGCCACCACATGTCAAAGAAGGTAGAACATCCACTAAGCCTGGAATTTCTGCTCTCATGAGGGAGATCCAGAAAGGTGCAGCTTTCACGATGAATATGGCCAACACCAGCTTCTGGGATTCCTTAGTAAACTAGCAAAGTGTTTGATTTTCAACACTGGGTTACTAAGTTCCAAGGTGGCTGTTGTAAAGAACCTGGAAGAGAATGTACATAGCTTGGTTTAGTTTACCTCGTCTTCTGTTTTAAGCGCAGCATCTTTGCCTCTCTGTTCATGGTGTCCTCAGTCTGGATGCAACCTTTCACGTTTAGTTTTCCAGACACTAAATCTTTGGGAAGAGGAATATTTGCCAGATAGCATGTTGTGGGAAGATTACCTGGTAGAAGAACTTCTTGCATTGTATATGTTTTTTGTTTTTGTTTTTGAGATGGAGTCTTGATCTTGTCACCCAGGCTGGAGTTCATTGGCACAGTCTCGGCTCACTGCAAGCTCCACCTCCCGGGTTCAAGTGATTATCTGCCTCAGCTTCCCAAGCAGCCTGCTGCCACGCCCTGCTAATTTTTTTTTGTATTTTTAGTAGAGATGGGGTTTTGCCATGTCGGCCAGGCTGATCTCAAATTCCTGACCTCAGGTGATCTGCCCACCTTGGCCTCCCCAAGTGCTGGAATTACAGGTGTGAGCCACTGTGCCTGACCTCAATGTCTGTGTTTTAATTGATGCTCATTCACCCCATTGATGAGGGAAGGATTCCCATACTAGAGTTCTGGGAGTGCCAGAATGCATGACATCTGACACTGGACAGATGAGAGTCAACAGCTGCTCATTCATCTCATAAACTTACAACCCAGGGGAGGAAGATACTGTGCGCCATACAGGGCCACGTGGAGATTGTTAATCAAGAATAGAACGAACAACAAAGGGTTGTCCGAAATGGGCTTTGTAGTATCCAGGGGGTGAGGTGCCCCCTTGTTACTATAGGAGAATGTGATTCACTTGTTTGGAGAATTCCATGGGCTAGCAGGGAACCCAAACTTACTCCTTACGGATAAATAGAGACTATGCTTTGGACCTTTGATAAAAAGGGTTTCTTGAAGCCCGGAGACCTTATCTATGGAAGCAGAATTGGGAAGGGAACTATTAGGCTCTCTGAAGTATTCCCAGTTTCAACAGATGTCAAGGCAGAGCATAATATTGGGCCTTGATTTTAGGCCTTATATCACAGTATGTACATTTTAAACTCTCTTTTCAGACTTCTATTGTCTGTGCTAGTGTTTACATATTTTTCAGAGAAGTTAGGAAAACTGTAGATCTGAGGTTCTTACCTGAAACCTCTAACTCTAGCCCTCTGAAAATGTTAACCAAGAATTCCCTACTATTATGCTGGGCACAGTGGCTCATGCCTATAATTCCAGCACCTTGGGAGGCCAAGGCAAGAGGATCTCTTGAGGCCAGGAGTTTTGAGACTAGCCTAGGCAACATAGGAAGACCCTGTCTCTGAAAAATTACAAATTAGCCAGGCATGGTGGCCTATACCTGTAGTCCCAGCTACTCAGGAGGCTCAGGTAGGAGGATCACTTGAGCCCAGGAATTTGAGGCTGCAGTGAGTTATCATCGTACCACTGCACTTGAGCCTGGGTGACAGAGCCAGATCCTGTTTAAAAAAAAACAAAACAATCCATACTGTTTAAGACAGCAGATTAAATCAAACCCAGAGTCTTTTTCTCCTACCCAACAAATTGAGCTAAATTGCTCTTTATATATAAGAGCATTGTCTGTGATTTCAGGGTAGAAAGTTAAAACTTCTAACTCTATTGTATTGCCTGAAGTTAGGAAGAAGGTACCACATTTATCTGATAAGAATTTCATATATTAAACATTTAACAGGGCCAGCAGGAGGGCAAATTCTCAGTTTTCCACTGCCTCACCGTTTCTGGGCTAGTATCATTATCTTTTGCCTGTTAGGTGTGATGCCATAGCATGTAACACACGCACACATGTACTCCCTCCTAGTTCACGGGGTTTTCTGGAGGAACGTTCAGTGAACTTACCGTAGCAATTTCTTGATAACTAATTTAGAGTGAGTTGGCATGTTTTCGCCTTGAGTTGTTCTTATTTCTTTGAAGGAATTAAGTAGACTGGCTGGACAGATTCGAAGGTTGTATGGTTCAAACAAAAAAGCTGATAGGCCATTTTGGATCTGCCTCACTGGATTCACAAGAGACAGTCCCATTTATGAAGAGTGTTTGAGGATGAATGATGGATTTTCTAGTTACCTGGTAAGTCTCTTTTTACATTGTATTTGAATTGTCATCTGAAAAGTAATTGGGGAGTTACAGTAATTTTTTTTTACTTTTTCATATATATGTGTGTATATATGATATAGTTTCAGTATCGAAATCTAAAAAATACTCAGAATCTCATTAGTTTTTACATTTAAATTTTTTTCTCATCCTCCTGCATTGGCAAAGTAATATTACCAGTGTCTAGGATTGTATTTTGTATCCTGTATGTTTTATGCTAGACTGTATACTCCACTATTTTTGGGAAATGCTACGACTTCTTTCTTGTTCCCATTAATGGTGAATTGGGGAGCCATGAGTTTTGGGGGAAGAGAAGGAATCCTTTCAGAAGTAATGGAAATTTAAGATAAGTTTTAGGGAGTACTAAGGTACTTTTCACCTCTCTCTGGATCTCAAATGTAGTGATACATATATGTGCCAGAATCCAGATCAGTTTCTAAGAAATGTCACTGAAAATGCCTGGTGTGTTTGCATTGTGGAGCTGAGACAGAGCACTTGTGGCCTTCTCCAGGAAGGTCCCAGAAGTAATGAATGTGAAAGGCGCATTGTGCGGGGCTGCACAGCTGTTTTGCTGTTAGTGTCTTAATAGTCTCTCTTGTAGTGCCGCTATTTCTATGTACTTTTTTTTTTTTTGTGATTCCTTTCATAAGCTGAACAGTCCCCCATAGTTCCCTTGCTTTCCTGCCTTCATGCCTTTCTTAGGTGATTCCCTCAGCTTTGAATTCTTCTCCTTTAGTGTATGTCAATATTAATCTCTTTTGAGGCCGGACATGGTAGCTCACACCTGTAAGCCTAACTCTTTAGGAGGCCGAGGCAGGTGGATTATTTGAGCTCAGGAGCTCGAGACTAGCCTAGGCAATATAGTGAAACCCTGTCTCTATTAAAAATACAAATATTAGCTGGGTGCAGTGGTACAGGCCTGTAGTCCCAGTTACTCAGGAGCTTCCGTCCTCTCTTCAGTTCTGCAAGGATAACTGCCTCAGGAGGCTGAGGCAGGAGGACTGTTTGAGCCTGAGCATCGGAGGTTGCAGTGAGCCTAGACTGTGCCATGGCACTCCAGTCTGGGTAACAGAGCCAGACGCTGTCTTAAAAAAAGAATTCTCCTTTCACAAACCCTGTTTTGGCATTTCCTTCACCAGCAGGTTATCCCTGATGTTGTTGCTCCCTCATCTGTAGTTCTGGGGCATACTCCCTGTACTGCTGTCAGCACACTACCTCACTTCATAGATTTCAACGTCTGTGTCTACTTTCCCTCCTAAGTACTTTCTGAGAAGAAGCTGTCAAGCTGTCACACATGGAGTCCCTTGATCCACACCGAGAGCTGTGCCTGATAGACACTTTAAGCCCAGTAACTAGTTGTTGAATTTTGAGCGTTTTAAAAATAATTTTTATTTATTTTTGAGATAGGCTGGAGTGCAGTGACACAATCTTGGCTCTCTGCAACCTCCTTCTCCTGGGCTCAAGCCATCCTCCCACTTCACCCTTTTAAGTATTATAGCTGGGACTACAGGTGCATGCCACCAGGCCTGGCTAATTTTTTTTTTATTTTTAGTAGAGACGGGGTTTCACCATGCTGCCCAGGCTGGTCTCAAACTTCTGAGCTCAAGTGATCTGCCCACCTTGGCCTCCTAAAGTGCTGGGATTACAGGCATGAGCTACCCCACCTGGCTGTGAGCTGTTTTAACATTGGACTGTTTGTATTTTCCAGTTAGACATAACAGAAGACGACTGCTTTAGTTTATTTCCTCTGGAAACCCTTGTGTACCTGACTCCTGACTCAGAACATGGTATGTACTTGAATACATGGATTCATATAGCCTATTGTTCCTAACACTGTGTTTCATTATTCTGTGGCAGAATTTATTAAAGCCCCTCAAGGACATCCCCACACACAGAAAAAGTAATGCACACGACCTCTGCTCCTCTTATGGGCTGGTGCCTCGCTGGATGCTTTGTGTCTTACCATGGCTCACAGCTGCACAGACTTAGGGTTTCCATCCTCATCTGGACCTTGTGTGCTGCCTGCCAGTTCTTCCCAGTGTCCTTGGTCAGCTGGCCCACTGGCCCTTCTTGGATCAATGTTAGACATATTTTTTTCAAGAAAATCATTTATTTCACATAATTTTCAAATGTATTCATATTCAGCTGATCATAGTATTCTCATCTAATTATTTTCACATTCTTCTGTTTTTTCTTTCTGAATCTAGTGTTGATTTGAGTTTGCTACCCTTTTTCGTGAATAGATATGCTACAGTTTATTTGCCATTTTAGAAAATTAGCTTTTGGTTTTATTGAGCAAGTTTTTGTTTTCTATTTACTAAATTTCTACTTTTATTATTAATAGTTCTTTCCTTTTGCTTTCTTTGGATTTAGAAATTATAAAACATTTTTATCTCAATGGCCTTCCTTTTTTCATTAGCTCTTGAAGATGTTGATCTAAACAAAGTTTACATCCTCGGTGGACTTGTGGATGAAAGCATTCAGAAGGTAAGTATACATTTCAGCCCCAACATCTGTTTTGAAGTAATGCTTACTTTTAAACGCATGTGCCCTGTCATAATCTCACCTAGAGGGTCTGAGAACTCAGGGGATGGGAGGCCGGGCGGGGTGGCTCATGCCTGTAATCCCAGCATTTTGGGAGGCCTAGGTGGGCAGATCACAGGGTCAGGAGTTCAAGACCAGCCTGGTCAACATGGTGAAACCCATCTCTACTAAAAATATAAAAATTAGCTGGGCACAGTACTGCATGCCTGTAATCTCAGCTACTCAGGAGGCAGGAGAATTCCTTGAACCAGGACCCAGGAAGTGGAGGTTGCAGTGAGCCAAGATCACGCCATCGCACTCCACCCTGGGCTACAGAGCGAGACTCCAGAACTCAGGGGACAGGAAGAAAGAGCCATTCCCACCTGGTTGGCCCTCTGGCTGGTGAAGTTCCCTCTGTCCTCATGAGCAATGTCAGAATAGTCGAGAGTCAGGAACTGGACTGGGCACTGTTTGGTAATTATATAAATAGCCATTGTTGAGCTTCTTTCTTCTCTTCAGTTCTGCAAGGATAGCTCTGATCTTGACCAAGTGAGCATCGACTCAACATTCTTACCAGCTGTTTGTTCTTTGAGAGGATAGTTTTCTCCTTCTTGGGTTGACCTCTCTGCTGAAATAGTCTTATTCCAAAACCAAAAATCTTAGGATTGTCTGGATTTTTTTTGGTTGGAGTTTTAGAGGAATAACTGAGGTGTCACTGGAATTCTGAAATATGTTATACAGGTATTTATTAAGATAATTTTGTTTATATTTACTAGTTAACATATTACATAGATAAGAAATATATTTAAAAAAATAGTGAAAAGTCTCTTTCCTACCTTTGTCTCCCCGTTCCCCTCCCGAGAGACAAGTTTTCTTGTCTATCCTTCTTGAGACATTATATGAATGAACACAAAGCATGTGTGTGTGTGTATTTTACATATATGTAGATGTGTTCTATCCCTGTATGTATAAGATATACATATATTTAACACAGATGATAGGTTAATTTAACTGCATTTATTTAAAAAACATTCGTATTCCATGACTCCATAGTGATCATCTAGAAAATGAGTAAGGGGTACTTACAGAAGAACACCAGCTAATAAATAAGGAATGCATAATAGAATTAGAGTATCATCATTTTGTCACTCCTAATATAATCATTGACTCAGACAATTGAAAGAAAGGTTGTGGAGGAACTGGCTATTTACATGGTCTCTAAGTAGCACCCTACAGATAACAGAGGCAGAGATTTACAGTTACAGTAAAGCATTCCGGTGGTCACCATCTTATCTAAACTTGATCAAACTTAGTATCACTCATAGAGGTACAATCTCTGCCTCCGGAGGTGAAGTATTCTTGCCAAAAAGCTTTTCTTTTTCTTTTCTTATTTTGAAGCAGGGCCTTGCTCTGTTGGCCAGGCTAGAGTGCTCTGGAGTGATCATGGCTCACTGCAACCTCGAACTCCTGGGCTCAAGCAATCCTCCCACCACCTGAGCCTCCTGAGTGGCTGGGACTACAGGACCATGCCACCTGACTAGCTAGTTTTTAATTTAATATATATATATATTTTTTGAGACGTGGTCTCATTCTGTTGCCCAGGCTGGAGTGCAGTGGTATGATCATGGCTCACTACACCCTCAATTTTGTGGGCTCATTTGAACCGCCCATCTCAGCCTCCTGGGTAGGTGGGATAACAAGTATGTGGACCTCGCCCAGCTAATTTTTGTATTTTTTGTACAGACAGGGTCTGGCCATGTTTCTCAGGCTGGTCTTGAACTCCTGGACTCAAGCAATCTACCCACCTCAGCCTCCCAAATTGCTAGGATTACAGGCATAAGTCACTGTGCCTGGCCTACTTTTAGAATTTTTTTTGTAGAGACAAGAGTCTCAGTATGTTGCCTAGACTGGTCTCAAACTCCTGGGCTCAAGCAATCCTTCTGCCTCCGCCTCTCAAATTGCTGGGATTACAAGTATGAGCTACTGAGCCCAGCCTAGTTTTTAAAACATTTTGTAGAGACAGGATCTCACTGTGTAGCCCAGGGTGGTCTGGAACTCTTGGACTCAGGTAATCCTCTCACCTTGGCCTCCCAGAGTGCTGGGATTATAGGTGTGAGTCAACTCACCTGGCTCAGAAAATATTTAAACTGAATTTAATCATGAGGAAACAGACAAATCCAGAATGTGGGATATTCTGCCCAACAACTGGACTAAGGCAGGAGGCTGTTTTAGATTGAAGAGGTTCGGCCAGGCACAGTGGCTCATGACTGTAATCCCAGCACTTAGGGAGGCCAAAGCAGGCAGATCACTTGAGGCCAGGAGCTTGAGAAGCACTTAGGGAGGCCAAGGAAGGAGGATCACTTGAGGCTACAAGTCTGAGATCAGCCTGGGCAACATGGTGAGAACCCATCTCTACAAAAAAATTAGGAAAAAGGTTAAAAAACCATTATAGCCAAATGTAGTATGTGAGCCTTGATTGAATTCTGTATTGAGAGGAAAGCTTTATAAAAGACAGTTTGGGGAGAGTTGGGGAGATTTTAATATACATTATGTATTAAGTGAAATTACAGAATAAAAGTTTCTTTGAGGTGAAAATGACATTGTGGTAAGGTAGGAGAATGTCATTGTTTCTTAGATGCATGCTTAAGTATTTAGTGAAGAAGTATTGTGATGTCTGTAGCTTACTTTCAGATGGTTCGGCAATTTTATCTTTTATTGCAACAAGGTCTTGCTCTGTCATCCAGGCTGAGTGAGGTGGTGCAATCATAGCTTGCTGCAATCTTGAACTCCTGGTCTCAAGCAATCCTCCCACCTCAGCCCCCTGAGTACCTAGAACTATAGGCTCATGCTACCACAGACAGCTAATTTTTTTTTTGTATGTTTGTTAGAGACGAAGTCTTGCCACATTGCTCAGGCTGGTCTTAAACTTCAGGCCTCAAGCAATCCTTCTGTCTCAGCCTCCAAAAACAGACTGTAGTCATGAACCACCATGCCCAGCCCAAAATATGTATTTATATACCGAGAGAGAGAAGCAAAATATTAACAACAACTGGTGATTCTAGATTACAGGAAGGAGTATTGATTGTATTATTATTTTTAACTTTTCTTAGTTTCGAAATATTTCAAAGTGAAAAATCTGGAGGGCTGGAGGACTGCTTGAACCCAGGAGTTAGAGGCTACAGAGAACTGTGATCACCCCACCGTACTCCAGCCTGGGTTATGCGACACAGTGAGACCCTGTCTATAAAAAATAATAATAAATAAATTAGTTAAAAGTTTATTAGTCTTTCCTGCAGTGGGGTGACAGCCCCCGCCAACCCCCTTTGTTTTAAACAGGTCCTTGATCTGCTGCCCAGGCTGGAGGGCACTGGCACAATCACAGCTCACTGCAGCCTCAACCTCCCAGGCTCAATTATGTCCCCACTTCAGCTTCCCAAGTAGCTGGGACCACAGGTGGGTGCCACAAAGCCCAGCTAATTTTTTTGTTGAGTTTTCACCATATTGCTCATGCTGGTCTTGAACTCCTGGGCTCAAGTGACCCACATGCCTCAGCCTCCCAAAGTGCTGAGAAATTGTGGGCATGAACCATGGTGCCAAGGTGACTGTCCCTATTTTGAGGTAGTTAAGTTCAGAGGGTCAGTGAGCAGTGCATGACTTATAGATGTGTAGTTTTAACACATTGTGTTCATCTGCCCACCAACGTTTAAACTGAAAAATAACTGGAAGATTTGTGAGATGTTTATAACTTTTTGGTTGTTACTGGAGTTTGGCTTCTTCACAGAAATAAGCTAAGAACATTTCTTCAAGGAGAGTCATTTTATCATGAATCATTGTGCAAAAAACAGAAACTAGATTGTAAGCTTTTCTAGAGCAACACCCAGATATCCTACTCTAACTTTGAATTCTGTACTCAGTTCGAAGTGATTATAAGGAATGAAACTTGGAAAAAAAAAAACCTATCATAGCTCATATATGCAAAGGAGTTATTTTTTTTGAGATGGAGTCTTGCTCTGTCACCCAGGCTGGAGTGTAGTGGTGTGATCTCGGCTTACTGCAACCTCCACCTCCCGGGTTCCAGTGATCCTCAGCCTCCCAAGTAGCTGGGACTACAGGCACCCACCAGCATGCCCAGCTAATTTATGTATTTTTAGTAGAGACGGGGTTTCATCATATTGGCCAGGTTGGTCTCAAACTCCTGACTTTGTGATCTGTCCACCTCAGCCTCCCAAAATGCTGGGATTACAGATGTGAGCCACTGCACCTGGCCTATGCAAAGGAGTTTTATCCTTTCGAATAAGTCCTTATCAGAGTTGCATCACTTAAAACATTTTTGGAATTTCTCTCTTAAAATTGTGTTTTACGTGAGAGTCAGGTAATCCAGTTTCAGCACCAAAAAGGTACTAGGTCCGCTTCACACTATTCCACCTGGTTAGACCACACTCATGATGGCCAGTTATGGGACTGTAAACAAAAAGATATTGACTAGCTAGAACAAGTTCTAGCTGAACGATGAGGGGACTTGAAACTAAGTCATAGTCAAAGAAGAGCTAACAAAACAGAGGCTACAATCTGGAAACCAGAGGATTCCTAGGGGCATGACCACTGTCTTCAAGTTTCTGAATGGCCATCTTGTGGAAGGGCCATCTTGTATGGTCTGGCCTTAGGGAAATAGACTAGGATGAATGAGTAGAAGTCTCAGAAAATAGAGAATTTGTCTCAAGATCAAAAAGACTATCCTGTCAGCTGGTACTATCAAAGTTGGGAGTGGATCGTCCCAGGCATGAATTCCTTGTCACAAGAGCTGTCCGTTGAGTCCACGTGGCCACTTGGAGAAGTCTTAGAGAACAGACAAACATTGTTTGGAGTTAGAGTGAGATAGTTAGCACTACTGAGACCCCTTCCAAGCCTCCGCATGCGGATTACCCCAGTAATCTGAACCTTTCTCTTTAATCCTGAAATTTTATGTAGAAAATTTTTCCTGCACTTCTTACAAGGCAGCAAATGTAATTTGACTGACTCATGACTTAGTCTGAGGGATTTCATGACTGAGGGACATCTTATAAAGGGACATCAGTTTCTGTATTCTGACCCTAAATGGCCTCAAATTGATGGACTTCTTGAGTTCTTATGACTCCTTTTTGCGGTTTTCAGAGCACTTTTTTTTTTTTGAGACAGGGTCTCATTGTTACTCAGGCTGGAGTGCAGTGGTGCAATCATGGCTCATTGCAGCCTTGATGTATGTCCCAGGCTTAAGTCATCATCCAACCTTTACCTCCATAGTAGCTGGGACCACAGGCACACACCACCACACCATTAACTTTTATTTGTAGAGACAGGGTCTCCCTATGTTGCCCAGGGTGGTCTTGAACTCCTGGGCTTGAGCAGTCCTCTGGCCTCAGCCTCTAAGTGCAGTGAGCCACTGCACCTGGCCCATCTTTTATTTGGGCCGTCTGTTCTCACACCTTAATGCCACTTGTGGTAGTGGTGTACCTATCTTGAATCTTGTCTACCTTTTCTCTAGTTAATTTGATGCTGCCTATTGGCAATGAGCTGGAAGTTCCAGACTTCGAGAATTGGGTCTTACCTAGTTAGGGCCTGGAATGTGCTCCGACTGATTAGACTGCTTGGGCCTTTTGACGCTGTAGCCGCAGATGTGCCTCTTTTGCTTATTTTCCTCTTGGTTTTAAGTGGTAATGAGTGGAGGACTGTGGATAAGTGATCCTCCAAAAAGTGAGATGTCACATAAGCTCTTTCTTGAGACAGTTTACTCATTATCTGCAGTTTCTTCCATCCCACAGTAGGCTACTTATTTTTAATGCTGTATGTATTACAATGAGAATATACTCATATATAACTTTCATAAGAAAAATACTTAACTGTATATTTACAGAAGGTGACATTTCAAAAGGCCCGGGAATACTGTGTCAAGACTGCACGCTTGCCAATCCAGGAATACATGGTCAGAAACTATAATGGGAAAAACTATCATTCGGAGATATTAGCAATCAATCAAGGTAATTTTTACACGGCCCCCATCAGTGTGGTGAGTTCTGGTGCTGCTGCTTTGCACTGTGTTTAAGTGGCCTTTGAGTCAGTCTCCTCTGTGACTAATGTGTGTGGACTTTATTGTATGCACTTTGTGACATGTATTCTGGCCACTACGAGGTATTCTTTATTTTCTTCCGTGTCACTATGTTAGAGATAGTTTAAATTGTCCCCTTGGCTGGGTGTGGTGGCTCATGCCTGCAATCCCAGCACTTTGGGAGGCCAAGGTGGGCAGATCACCTGGGTCAGGAGTTTGAAACCAGCCTGGCCAATATGGTGAAACCTCCTCTCTACTAAAATACAAAAATCAGCCAGGCCTGGTGGTGCGCACCTGTAATCCCAGCTACTCCAGAGGCTGAGGCATGAGGATTGCTTAAACCTGGGATGCAGAGGTAGCAGTGAGCCAAGATTGTGCCACTGCACTGCAGCCTGGACAGCAGTAAGACTCTGTCTCCAAAAAAAAAAAAAAAAAGAGGCCAGGTGTGGTAGCTCATACTTGCATCCCAGCCCTAGAATGTCCTGCTTTTAACCTCTCACTGACCAGTGAATTCCTGTTTGGTCTTCAGCATTCAGTTCAGGAGCATCTTGGCTGGCTTCTTTCCCCATCCCAGGCCACAGCAGGCCCTTCTCTGTTCCCATTTTACCATGTTCCTTTCTGTTACATGCTATCCATTCACAGGCCCGTATCTTTCAGGGTAGGCTGAGGTCCTTGAGAGCAAGCAGAGCCTGTGTCCTTGCCTCATTTCCCCCAGGACCTTAGTACCACATGGTGTAGAGTAAGGTTTGTGGCAGAGTAGGTTTGTCGAATGAAATATTACAGAATATCCTTTTCATTACTCATTTACCCATTCTTTTTTTCCTCTGTGTTTTCTGTTTACTCTCAGTGTTTGATATCCTGTCCACTTACTTAGAGACTCACAACTGGCCTGAAGCATTGAAGAAAGGAGTTTCTTCAGGAAAAGGCTATATTCTTCGGAACTCAGTGGAATGATGGGCCTAAAGAGTGCAGCTGTGTGGCAAGGTGCAGTGGCTCATGCCTGTAATCCCAACACTTTGGGAGACAGAGGTGGGCAGATCACCTGAGGTCAGGAGCTCCAGACCAGCCTGGCCAACATGGTGAAACCCTGTCTCTAATGAAAATACAAAAATTAGCTGGGCATGGTGGCACACAACTGTAGTCCCAGCCACTCAGGAGGCTGAGGCAGGAGAATCACTTGAACTCAGGAGGTAGAGATTGCAGTGAGCCAAGATTTCACCACTGCACTCCAGCCTGGTTGACAGAGCGAGACTCCATATCAAAAAAATAATAATAATTAAGATTTTAGTTTGGTTTAAGCAATTCCTCTACCTCAGCCTCCTGAGTAGCTGAAAAAAAAAAAAAAAAAGATTATCGAAGGAGTGAGGTGCCAGAGGTACCTTGACCAAAGAGCAGGGCACATAATTGCCTTTACTTAATATCTTCTCAGAGATTGACAATAAGCTAGTGGCAGGGACCACGTTTAATGCTCTTTTAATCTCCCATAGTGCCTGGCTCACAGGAAGTGCCCAGATAAGTAATAAAAACTTTATGTAAAAAGGAATTAGCCTCAAAACCACATGGCTTCGGATGTGCTAATTCAACTTTTGTACATCTATTTGTGAGAGACCTATTCTAGAAATTGTTTAAATGGTTCTATCAAGAGTTTAATATTCACTAAACTGGCATCATAAAATTGGCTTGCTGCAGCATTGTCGGACCATGCTAATCGTTTCCAAGCTCAGTAATAAGCTTTGCAGGAGCCAGCCTGTTCTGACCTATATCACTACTGAGTCCCCATAGGATTATGTTCCCTCCTGCGGCTCTTACCCTGTTCTCCTTTGCAGAGTATGGGCATGGAGGGCTTCTCTTCTTAATCCTTCCTCAGGTAGGGTCCTAACAGGACAAATCTTTGTACTTATCTTTCTATCCTCTCTGAACCTGGTACCAACTAGACTCTTCATATGTATTTGTAACTAACAGATTAAATTGTCAAGTAGAAACACAGTATTGATAAAAGTCTGTCTTGTAAATAGACAAAGTGTTCACCTACTTCTTATTACACAAATCTCATGTTCTTTATGTCCCAGTTAGACATATTTGCTTTAGTTACTCTTTGACAGTTTGGGTTAACTTGCTAGTTAAGTAGCTAGCAAACTGAGAAAAATGTATTCAACATCTCAATAGACCAGAAAGTTATTTCTCTGCTCTGTCCCCTCCCCTTCACAATTTAATTCCCAAGGAACTGAGATTACCTGATAAATTTTATCAGTGTCTGTTATTTAAAAACTGGCCAATTAATAATAAAAGATATGGGACCAACCTAAGTACCCATCAACCAATGAGTGGATAAAGAAAATGTGGTATATTTATCCCATGGAATATTACTTGCCATAAAAAAATAAAGTATTTTGCAACAAAGATGCAGAAACTGGGTGGGGATAAAAAAAAAAAACTACATACTGGGTATAATATATAGTACTAAGGCGACTGATACACCAAAATCTCAGACTTCACTACTATACAATTCATCCATGTAGACTTCCACCAAGATGGCTGAATAGGAACAGCTCCAGTCCGCAGTTCCCAGTGACAACTGGGAGAAGCCAGAAGGTAAGTGATCTCCACATTGCCAACTGAGGTACCAGATTGATCTCATTGGAACTGGTTAGACAGTGGATGTAGCCCAAGTAGGGCAAACCGCAGGATGGGGCATTGCCTCACCCTGGAAGCACAAGGGTCTGGAGAACTCCCTCTCCTAGCCAAGAGAAGAAGCCATTAGGGACTTTTCCAGACACTCTGGCTCACATACTGTGCCTTTCCCATAGTCTTCACAATCTGCAGACCAGGAGAATCCTTCCGGTGCCTGTAACACCAGCACCCCAGGCTTCCAGCACAATACTGGTGGCCGTTTTAACTGCAGCATTTTTTTCCCTCATACCCCACTGGTGCCTGAACGCCAGAGAGACAAAACTGCTCATTCCCCTGAAAAAAAAAAAAGGGGGGCCTTAAGCCAGGGAGCCAAGTGATCTTGCTTGGCAGGTCCCACCCCTAGGAAGACCAGCAAGATAAGATTTACTGGCTTGAAATTCTCGCAGCCAGCCCAGCAGTCTGAGCTCCACATGGGATGTTCCAGCTCAGTGGGGCAGGGGCGTCTACCATTACTGAGGCTCAGGTACGTGGTTCTAACCTCACCTTGTAAACAAAGACACCGGGAAGTTTACACAGCAACTGGGCAGAGCCCACAGCAGCTCTGCAAGGCCTCTGCAGGCAGACTGTGACTAGACTCCTTTCTTGCTGGACAGGGCTTCTCTGAAAAAAGGCAGCAGCCTGTCAGGGACTCATAAATAAAGCCCCCACTTTCCTGGGTCATAGCACCTGGGAAAAGATGGTTGTGGGTTCCACTTCAGCAGAATTAAAACGCCCCTGCCCAGCAGCTCTGAAGGGAGCAACTGAGTTCCCAGCACAGAACTTGAGCTCTGATAAGAGAAAGACTGGCTCTTCAAGTGGTTCCCTGACCCCCGTTTATCCTAAGAGATACCTCATACAGGAGAGCTCTGGCTGACATCTGGCAGGTACCCTTCTGGGACAAAGCTACCAGAGGAAGGAACAGGTAGCAATCTTTGCTGTTCTGCAGCCCCCACAGGTGATTCCCAGGCAAGCAGGGTCTGATGTGGACCTGCAGCAGAGGGGCCTGTTAGAAAAACTAAAAAACAAAGAAATAGCTTCAACATCAATAGAAAGGATGTCCACTCAGAGACCCTATCCAAAAGTCACCAATTTCAAAGACCAAAGATAGATAAATCCACAAAGATGGGAAGAAACCAGTGAAAAAAGGCTGAAATTGCCAAAAACCGGAATGCCTCTTCCCCTCTAAGGGACCACAACTCCTCATCAGCAAGGGAACAAAACTGGATAGAGAATGAGTTGGACAAATTGACAGAAGCAGGCTTCAGAAGGTGGGTAATAACAAACTTCTTCAAGCTAAAGGAGCATGTTCTAACCCAATGTATAGAAACTAAGAACCTTGAAAAAAGGTTAGATGAGATGCTAACTAGAATAACCAGCATACAGAAGAACATAAACAACTTGATGGAACTGAAAAACAGCACAAGAACTTCATAAAGCATACACAAGTTTCAATTGCCAAATCAATCAAGTGGAAGAAAGGATATCAGAGATTGAAGATCAACTCAATGAAATAGAGTGAGAAGGCAAGATCAGACAAAGAGTGAAAAGAAATGAACAAAGCCTCCAAGAAATAATGAGATTACACAAAAAGACCAAATCTACTTTTGATTGGTGGACCTGAATGTGATGGGGTGAATGAAACCAAGTTGGAAAACACTCTTCAGGATATTATCCAGGAGGACTTCCCCAACCTGGCAAGGCAGGCCAACATTCAAATTCAGGAAATACAGAGAACACCATAAGACTGCTCAAGAAGAGCAACCCCAAGGCACATAATCATCAGATTCACTAGGGTTGAAATGAAGGAAAAAATGCTAAGGGCAGCCAGAAAGAAAAGTTGGGTTACCCACAAAGGGAAACCCATCAGACTCACAGCTGATCTCTTGGCAGAAACCCTACAAGCCAGAAGAGAGTGGGGGCCAATATTCAACATCCTTAAATTTTCAACCCAGAATTTCATATCCAAATTAAGCTTCATAAGTGAAGGCAAATAAAATCCTTTGCAGACAATCAACTGCTGAGATTCTGTTGCCACCAGGCCTGCCTTAAAAGAGCTCCTGAAGGAAACAACTAAACATGGAAAGGAACAACCAGTAACAGCCACTATAAAAACACACCAAATTGTAAAAACCATCGACAGTATGAAGAAACTATCAACTAACAGGCAAAACAACCAGTTAGCATCAAAATGGCAGGATCAAATTCACATATATTAACCTTAAACGTAAATGGGCTAAATGCCCCAATCAAAAGACCCAGACTGCAAAACTGGATAAAGAGTCAAGACCTATCGGTGTGCTGTATTCAGGAGACCCATGTCATGTGCAAAGACACACATAGGCTCAAAACAAAGGGACAGAAGATTTACCAAGCAAATGGAAAGGAAAAAAAAAAAAGCAGGGGTTGCAATCCTAGTCTCTGATAAAATGGACTTAAAACCAATAAAGATCAGAAAAGACAAAGAAGGGCATTACATAATGGTACAGAGATCAATGCAACAAGAAGAGGTAAATATCCTAAATATATATGCAGCCAATACAGAAGCACCCAGATACATAAAGCAAGTTCTTAATGACCTACAAAGAGACTTAGACTCCCACACAGTAATAGTGGGAGACTTTAACACGCCACTGTCAATATTAGATCAACGAGACTGAAAATTAACAAGGATATCCAGGACTTGAACTCAGATCTGGACCAAGCAAACCTAACAGACATTCTTCTCAGCACCACATCACACTTACTCAAAAACTGACCACATAATTGGAAGTAAATCACTTTTCAGCAAATGCAAAAGAATGGAAATCATAACAAACAGTATCTCAGACCACAGTACCATCAAATTAGAACTCAGGATTAATAAACTCACTCAAAACCACACAACTACATGGAAACTGAACAATCTGCTCCTGAATGACTACTGGATAAAAAAATGAAATGAAGGCAGAAATAGATATGTTCTTCAAAACCAATGAGAAAAAAAAAAACCAGAATCTCAGAAAAAAGTGTACCAGAATCTCTTGGAGACATTTAAAGCAGTGTCTAGAGGGAAATTTATAGCACTAAGTGACCACATGAGAAGTGAGCAAAGATCTAAAATCAACACCTAAAGTCTGGATTAAAAGAGCTAGAGGAGCAAGATCAAATTCAAAAGCCAGCAGAAGACAAGAAATAACTAAGGATCGGCCAGGCACGGTGGCTCAAGCCTGTAATCCCAGCACTTTGGGAGGCCGAGGCAGGTGGATAACGAGGTCAAGAGATCGAGACCATCCTGGTCAACATGGTGAAACCCCGTCTCTACTAAAGATACAAAAAATCAGCTGGGCATGGTGGCGCGTGCCTGTAATCCCAGCTACTCAGGAGGCTGAGGCAGGAGAATTGCCTGAATCCAGGAGGCGGAGGTTGCAGTGAGCCAAGATTGCGCCATTGCACTCCAGCCTTGGTAACAAGAGCAAAACTCCGTCTCCAAAAAAAAAAAAAAAAAAAGAAGTAACTAAGGATCACAGCAGAACTGAAGGAGACAGACACAAAAAACCTTTTAAAAAATATCCAGGAGCTGGGTTTTTGAAAAGATCAACAAAATAGACTACTAGTCACACTAAAAAAGAAAGAGAAGAATCAAATAGATGGAATAAAAAATGATAAAGGGGATGTGACCACCGATTCCACAGAAATACAAACTACCATCAGAGATTACTACAAACACCTCTATGCACACAAACAAGTAAATCTAGAAGAAATGATTAAATTCCGGGACACTTACACCCTCCCAAGAATAACCAGGAAGAAGTTGAATCTCTGAATAGACCAATAACAAGGTCTGAAATTGAGGCAGCAATTAATAGCCTACCAAAGTCCAGGACCAGGTAGGTTCACAGCTGAAATCTACCAGAGGTACAAAGAGGAGCTGGTACCATTCCTCCTGAAACTATTCCAAACAATACAAAAAGAGGTAATCCTCCTTAACTCATTTTATGAGACCAACATTATCCTGATACCAAAACCTGGCAGAGGCACAACTAAATAAATTTCAGGCCAATATGCATGATGAACATTGATTTGAAAATCCTCAATAAAATACTGGCAAACCAAATCCAACAGCACATCAAAAAGCTTATCCACCACAATCAAGTCAGCTTCATCCCTGCCTGGGATGGAAGGCTGGTTCAACATACATAAATCTATAAATGTAATCCATTACATAAACAGAAGGACAGAAACCACGTTATTATCTCAACAGATGCAGACAAGGCCTTTGACAAAATTCAACAGCCCTTTATGCTAAAAACTGTCAATAAACTAGGTATTGATGGAATGTACTTAAAATAATAAGCAATTTATGACAAACCCACTGCTAATATCATACTGAATGGGCAAAAACTGAAGCATTCTCTTTGAAAACTGGCACGAGACAAGGATGCCCTCTCTCACCACTCCTATTCAACACAGCATTGGAAGTTCTGGCCAGGGCAATCAGGCAAGAAACAGAAATAAAGGGTATTCAATTAGGAAAAAAGGAAGTCAAATTGTCTCTATTTGCAGATGACATGTTTGTATATTTAGAAAGTCTCAGGATACAAAATCAATGTGCAGAAGTTAAGCATTCCTATACACCAATAACAGACAGAGAGACAAATCATGAGTGAACTCCCATTCACAATTGCTACAAAGAGAATAAAACACCTAGGAATACAACTAACAAGGAACGTAAAGGATCTCTTCAAGGAGAACTACAAACCACTGCTCAAGGAAATAAGAGAGGACACAAACAGATGGAAAAACATTCCATGCTCATGGTTAGGAAGAATCAATATCATGAAAATGGCCATACTGCCCAAAGTAATTTACAGATTCAATGCTAACAAGGTACCACTGACTTTCTTCATAGAATTGGGAAAAAAAACACCTTAAACTTCATACAGAACCAAAAAAGAACCCACGTAGCCAAGACAATCCTAAACAAAAAAAAGCTGGAGACATCAAGCTACCCAACGTCAAACTATACTACAAGGCTACGGTAATCAAAACAGCATGGTGCTGTTACCAAAACAGAGATATAGGCCAATGGAACAGAACAGAGGCCTCAGAAGTAATGCCACACATCTATAACCATCTGATCTTTGACAACCGTGACAAAAACAAGCAATGGGGAAAGGATTCTCTATTTAATAAACGGTGTTGGGAAAACTGGCTAGCCATATGCAAAAAGCTGAAACTGGATCCCTTTTTTTATACCTTCTACAAAAATTAACCCCAGATGGATTAAAGATTTAAAACCTAAGACCTAACACCATAAAAATCCTAGAAGAAAACCTAGGCAATACCATTCAGGACACAGGCATAGGTAAGGACTTCAAAAACAATAGCAACAAAAACCAAAACAGACAAATGGTATCTAATTAAGAGCTTCTGCACAGCAAAAGAAACTACCATTAGAGTGAACCAGCAACCAACAGAATAGGGAAAAAATGTTTGCAATCTACCCATCTGACAAAGGACTAATTTCTAGAATCTACAAAGAACTTAATAAAATTTACAAGAAAAAAAAAAAACCATCAAAAGTGGGCAAAGGATATAAACACACTTTTCAAAAGAAGACATTTATGTAGCCAACAAACATGAAAAAAAGCTCATCACCACCAGTCATTAGAGAAATGCAAATCAAAACCACATTGATACCACTTCACAGCAGTTAAAATGGTGATCATTAAAAAATCAGAAGACAACACATGCTGGAGAGGATGTGGAGAAATAGGAATGCTTTTACACTGTCGGTGGGAGTGTAAATTAGTTCAACCATTGTGGAAGACAGTGTGGTGATTCCTCAAGGATCTAGAACTAGAAATACCATTTGACCCAGCAATCCTATTACTGGGTATATACCCAAAGGATTATAAATCATTCTGTTATAAAGACACATGCACACATATGTTTATTGCAACACTGTTCACAACAGCAAAGACTTGGAACCAACCCAAATGCCCATCAATGATAGACTGGATAAAGAAAATGTGGCACACATACACCATGGAATACAATGCAGCCATTAAAAAAGGATGACTTCCTGTCCTTTGCAGGGACATAGATGAAGCCTGAAACCATCATTCTCAGCAAACTGACACAAGAACAGAAAACCAAACACCACATGTTCTCACTCATAAGTGGGTGTTGAACAATGTGAATATATGTACACAGGGAGGGGAACATCACACACTGGGGCCTAGGGTAGGGATAGCGGGGGTGGGGGTTTGGGGAGGGCTAACATTAAGAGAAATACGTAATGTGGATGACAGGGGGATGGATGCAGCAAAGCACCATGGCACATGTATACCTATATAATAAACCTGCACATGTACCCCAGAACATAATAAAAAAAATCATCCATGTAACCCAAAAGCACTTATACCCCCAAAAGCTATTGAAAGAAAAATAACCGTTCAGTCCTCAGAAAACATCATTAGGAACACACCAAACTCTGTGGTCTGTATCAACATATAGACATCAACAATGACTTCTAAAATCTCTTTCATCCAAAGGGGACTTTCTATGGATAGGCTTCAGGGGATCTATATCTCACGTATTCTCAAAGAGAATTGCTGATGTGGATCACCCGGCAATCTTTTTTCACCCCTAAAGGTTTTGGTTAATATACTAAATAGCATAGAAGAGTTTTCTTTACAACTCTTGTTACAAACCTTAACCATTTATCCAAAGTGGAACAGGTAGTTTTTTGCTTAGCTCCTAGGAAATGATTTTAGCAAAATAAGACTTGGCCAGATATGGATTCAGAAATCCTCACAGTGTTACTTATATAATAATAAACTATATCAAAAATATCCTATAACATGAAATATATGACTAACAAATTTTTCATGAAGTTGTGCAATGTATCATGCTATTTGAAGTAGACAAAAGTATATTACAAAGTAGCATATAAGCTACAAAACTATAATTTCAATTTGATAAACATAGAGAGTAGAGAATGTAAGCCAAGTGAAATTCTGTGCCTCAGTTTCAATTATGAGGATAAGAGTCTTCTGCAGTTAGTAAGAATAAAGGAGTTAATCCATGCAAAACACAATACTTGGTACCTGGAAAACACACCTCACCCACTGAATAATGGGATTATAGGCAACATTTCTTTGCCGCATTATACTTTTTATGTATTCTACATTTCTCTGATGAATGTGGCTTACTATTATAATCAGAAAATTATTTTACTGCTGACTTCCAGTTAACTATGGAAGCTGTACTCTAGCAATACTAAGGGAATAAATCATAATACTAGTGTTTTAATGAACTTTATTGTACAGAGCAAAAAAAATATGTCCTGATTTTGCCATGATTTTGTCTCCCATGAAAGTGTGGGTGAAAACCAGTAACTTATAAAAATACTGTAGGACTCTAATAAGATAATATATACATTCACACCTTATCTTGTGAGTATTTAAATGGAAAGAGGTTCACCTGAAAAAAGTTTTCCCAGGGAACCCATAGTTTTTTGCCTCAATTGACCTATTAAAAAGCCCACCTGTATCAACTTTCTGCCAGTCTGGAGAAGATTTGTTTTCTTTGATCTGATGTCATGTGTTCACAAGCTTCTAAAATGTTTGCCAAAATTAAAGTTTGTTGGATGGTTTTTGCCTTAACCCATATTCTTCCATTCATTCCAAATACTATCTCCAGTGGATAGAGTTTTCCCACTTCCTGTATGATTTCACAATCTGGAGCTAATAGCCTGGTGGGAAGAGAAAAGAAAATGAAATTTAATAAAGTGGCAAAGATGTGTCCAGAGTATCCTTTAGAATGTGATTCCTTCTCTGAGCAGTTCTCCATAGTTGTTGAACAAGAACAAGGCACATGATGACATCTGCTTCCTTTCTTCCAAGGAACTTTACACTTTTCAAAGGTATACTAGAGATGACAAAGTTGGGCTATCCCCTACAAAGAAATCAAACTCCCTAGGTTACCAACTTTGCAAAAAATGTAAATCATTCCTCTAGATTGTCAGAGCACCTTAATTCTAGACTGGGGAAGCATAACTTTTTTGTTATCTACAGTGCTAAAAGACACTTTACACTGATTTTCCTGACCATGTTATTCTCTTGTGTTAAATTCAGTACCTGGAGAGGAACACTGGCTCTTTCAAACCACAAGGGAGCTGCTTGGTTAATAACATGCTTTTCTGATGTCCAAATTTAATTCTCCAGATCTTTAGGATATGTAGCAAGAAGAGGCATACAAGATAGCTCTGAACTTCACTGGTTATAGGAGTAAAGCCCCTGAATATGGCACAGCTTTGTATGGGTAAAGTTCTAAACACCAAAAAGAGAATCTGCCTCAGTGGGAACTACTAAACTTACCAGGACCAAATGGCAGAAGCCTTCTGTGAATGTCTACATAGGCTTGAACATCACAAGCTTGAACATCACAATCTAAGCTGCGTGAGTCCCGTAATTAGAAAAATTTGATAATTTGACAACTACAGAGTACATCTGTGTTCAATTAACTCAGAAGAGGGGAAAGGCCAGTTTTCACATTTGGGCTGAGTATATCAGCTGAGGAACAGGCCTGGGAGGGAAGACATGAATACACAGTAAGAGCTTAAAGCATGAAGTATTAGCCCACCAGAAACTACACAGCCAAACACATCTAAATTTTATACGTTTACAAGAAGATATGATTAAATTCATGAGTTTCCAAATGTGTTAAAATGGATATTGATTTTTAACTTTGAGGAGGAATTCAAATGTCACAAAGAATCTGAATCCTGAAGATTAACCAACTTTTCAACAATGTATAATTATAAAAAAAAGGCAGGGAAGCCAGCATACATCAGGACTTACTTTCTAATTAAGCCCAAAGTCACTTTAAAAAGCAGACCATCCTGTCCAATGACACCCATTCCATTGGCTCGTCCACAGCTGTCAATACAGACCATCTCTGGTTCCATGTCTTTATTAGCAACCACAAATTGGCCATAGATGAGATCTCCAACCTATAATGATATTAAAAACCAGTTCATTACCTCTCAGCAAACTACTCTACAGGTGCTGCTATTGGTTCTTTCCCACAGCCATCAATGCCAGCCACCTACAGTTCTGTGGCTAAGGGACTGACTACACTACAGGATTTCTACAGTCACTTTGGAGTTGAGTCTTGTGAAAAAAAGGAACGCATGTATCATTCCCTTTCACCAACCAGGAAATCACAGAGGAAGAGCCATCTGAAGGCCAGAGAACACCTCTAGGGTTGCACTGTCCAATATGGTAGGTAGCTAATTATCTGAACTCACATTTAATTAAAATTAGATACTTAAAATTAATTTCCTGAGTTGCATTAGCCACATTTCAGGTGCTCAACAGCTAGTGGCTATCATACTAATCAGTAGAGACATAAAACAGCATCACTATGGAAAGATGTATTAGGTGACACCACCCTACAGAATTACAGATTTACAGAGAGAGGAAGGAACTCACAGCATGCAAATTATTCAAAGCAAAACAAAATAATTCACTGACACTTCTCCCTGCAAGATTACTTAAAAACCTCATAGAGCTAAACTTTAAAGTGATGAAACTGAGGAAATGGAGAGTGAACTCGGTTTACTCAACAAAATGTGTTAAGTACCTACTGTTTGTTGGTGACTATGTAAACTATAGAGGAAGAAAACATTCTCCGATTTTCAGAAGCATTTGGTCTTGGAGGGCAGTTGGGAGGTACATATACTAAATCCAGTAAGTGCTAGAGAAAAGATAGGAGAAAAGTGACAACTGGGGATGGCTTTAGAGAGGTGGTTGTGTTTAGCCTAGGTCTAAAAGATGAGAATGTGTTCCACAGGCTGAGAAGGAATAGTGCAATCCAGAGGGAACAGCATGTGCAAAGAAATAAGGGCAGGAAATTGAGTTTAGTGGTTTTTGGTGTGATTCAAGTAGGGCTGCATGAAGGATATAATTAGGGATAAGGAAAAGACACCTGAAGTGTAATGCCAAGGAATTCTGTAGATTTTGGATAATCTTGTTTTTTCTTTTCCAGAAAGTGACTGTGAGGATGTCTGCTCTCAAAACCCTGGATGGTAAGGTAAAAATGTGGAGGCAAGGATTAATGTGACTGAGTCCAGTCAAGACGGAGCTAAAGCCTGAACTTGCAAAGTGGAGATAAAGGGATGGACATACCAAAGATCAGAGATGGAATCAAATAGGATCAAAATAGGGTTAGGCAACTAAATATGCATGAGAAGTGAATGAGAAGCAGCAAAGAAATCACTAAATGTCGGGCTGGGGTAGACAAGAGTGTGGCTATGCTACCTGAAAAGCCCAATCTGAAAACCCAAGGCAATAATATCACTCCTCTCTCAGCTCCTAGGATCTACAGCCAGGATGGATGGATAGCTGATAATGCCAAAATGCGCACTACTTTTCCCTCCTCTAAGCCTACAGAAGACTTCCTTGTCCAGAGGATGTGGACATAACACATAACAGAGATGACAGATAACTCAGTAGAAATGAAACATGCTAAGAACAATGTAGTCAATGTAAAGTAAGTATGTGGCTCTGGTCCTGGAGCATCTGAAGAAACTCTTGGAGCCTGGGGCAATTGCATGCACAGAAATCTAGGTCATGCTTTGGAGACAATTCAGGTAGCCTTCTGGAGATATGAGTCCTTCAAGGGAATGGATGTTTTTCTTGCTTTGAAACCAAAGGCTCCCATCATTACCTGCACATTTGGTCTGTTTCTTTTAGTTGCACCTTCAAATGACAAGTAAGACAAAGAAGCCGGCTCACTCCCTCCAACATCAACTTTGAATATATCTCCAGATTTAGCTGTCACTATGCCAATCACATGGTCTCCTTTCACTGGAACATACTACAAAAGGAAACAGAATGAGAAAACAGTCATAAATAACAACATACCATTGGAAGATACCTTCAGCAAGTCTTTTGTGGTTACCTTATTGTCATTAAAGAGAAAGAAATTTGATCGTATGCCGCTTTTGGTAAAAGAAAATCACATAAAGTGTCGGGTTTGCAGCTTCTGGTAGTCTGTTAATTGAGCCCAAACCCCGTATTTCTTCAGCACCCCAAAGAGTAAGTCCCTAGCTTTGTAGCATAAATCCAGTGGCAAAGGAATCCTTACAACCAAGGAAGCCCATTCCATAGTTAGACATTTTTTTTTCTGTATGAAAGTTCTTATCTGTCCTAGGAGAAATTAACTCCCCTTGACATCCACTCATTCAGCCTGGTCCTGCCCTCTGAGACTCCAAAGGGAAAGTCTGCTGCTCCCTGACCTTTGGGGTTTTGAAGACTATAATCATGACTAACGGTCTCCAAACGTTTTTCTCTCCTGGTCGCCCTTCTCAGGGTATGTTCCTATTGTTCACGGACCCTCTAAAGGACATGAAAAGTGGGCACAAGACTACGGTGGTACTAGGGGCTCTAGGTGCCTGAACAAGGAGGGCTTCAGTGTCCCATCCTTTCTTCTTTTGGGAGGTCTTCTTAAAGCAGGGCTACCACTCCGGAGTCCCAGCTTACCCGCTTCTGCTGAGAGTCCACCCAGTAAACGCCGCCGCCGCCGCCGCCGCCACCGCCGGGCTCTTTGTGACGGAGGCGGCCGCACTTGGTGACCAGCAGGCGGTCCCCACAGCGCCGCAAGCCCGGGCCGCAAATAACGCGCACCCGCGAGCAAGCTCCAGCATTCAGGCTCAACGGTCGCTCCCCTGCACCGCCAGGGCCTTCCGCGTCCTCCTGTTCCGGCAGGAGCAGCTCCTCACCCGGGAGCACCACCTGACCTAGTACTGAGCGCGCAACGCGCGCCCCGCCGCCCGCGAGAGATTCAGCAACTACTGATACACCTTCAGCCATTGCGGACGCCCGCAAACACCGTTTCCGGTATTCGCCTTCCGCTTCCGCACCCGCCCTTGATGACTTTCCGGTTCCGGCAGTAGCGGTCGGTTGAGTTGCCCAGTTTATGAAGCTTCGTTGCCGTCAGCTCACAGGTGCCCGTCCGAGGTGGCTGTAGCCAGCCATCTATCTTACAGGCGTGAGCCACCGCGCCCGGCCGAACTTTTATGTTTTTTAGGATTGAGACAGATCATCTTCAACACACCCTCCAAATTTGGCAAGCCATTTTCCCCGCTAGGTGTAATAGAAGGCCAACAAATAAAAGGGGCTCCCACTTCCAGGTTAGTTTCCCTGGCAAAAATGGGAGCTCCTGTGGCAGAGACAGTATTAATTGTGCTTTTCTCTTCCCCACTCCAGAAGTATTGGGTGACCCTGCCTGCCTCAGTGTTGGCAGGATCAACAGCACGGCTGAAGGGCGCTCAAGGACCTCACATTCGGGCCAGGCAAAGAGGCAGGTGGGGAAATGTTCTCTGAACTGTCCTTCATTCACCCCACGTCGGTAGTGAAGTCTTTGGAAGAAACTCGGATCAGAGCTAGCAGAGGCCGCACATGACGAGCGGCGTAGCGCTCTAGCAGGTCAGCAGATGAAACAGCTGAGGCCGGGATGGAAAGTTTTCTCGCGACCCGAGGGCCGGGGCTGGGCCACTCCTGAGCACCACCCACCCTGACATGCCCACAGCGGGCGGGGCGCGAGGAACCGCAGCCAGCTTACCTGGCCGTGCGCAGCTGCGTCGGTGCTTCGCCGCCTCGGGGTCTTGCGCCCTGCCGAGAGCTAGCAGCCGGTGCTGGGCGGCGGGAATTCGTCCGCTGTTAGGTGGGAGCCCGAAGCCGCGAACGAGTGTTTGAAACCCGGCTTCAAGCCCTCGAGGGCGCGCGGGTTGGTCCTAGGGTCCCATGGGTCACGGTTCACATTTTCGAGCAACTCGTGCTTCCTCTCTGGTTATAAAAGTGGGAAAAGTGCAACGATTGGGGAATAAGGAGGAGGCTTTGCCCTCCGCCGGCGCTTGTGTTTCCCTGCTGATCGCGAGGTGGATTACGCCCGGTTCTCTGTCAGGCTTGCGGGTTTGGAGCCAAAGCAGTCGAGGCTGCTCCCCTTTCCAGTGCCTCTGGCCTATGCCTCCCCATTCGGAGTGTAACCAGGTCCCTTGATATTTAAGTACTCTGTTTTTTTTTTTTTTTTTTTCTGTTTTGTTTTGGGTTTTTTTGAGACAAAGTCTCGCTCTGCCACCCAGACTGAAGTGTAGTGGCGCGATCTTGGCTCACTGCAACCTCCGCCTCCCAAGTTCAAGCGATTCTCCTGCCTTAGCCTCTTGAGTAGCTGGAATTACAGGCATGCACCACCACAACTGGCTAATTTTTGTATTTTTAGTGGAGATGGGGTTTCACCATGTTGGCCGGGCTGGTCTCGAACTCCTGACCTCAAATGACCGCCCGCCTCCGCCACCCGAAGTGCTGGGATTACAGGCGTGCGCTGCCATGCCCGGCCCAGAACACACTTTTTTCTTATTAACTACTGTTTTAAATGTGTTAGCAATTCCATAAAATATAGTTTCCTTACCATCATTCCCCAAATCTGAACTACATTCTGTTGGCTAGATTCCTATGTGGAATAACATTCAAGTTTGGACTTGGTGTATCACAATACAGAACCAATTTTAAATACTCAAAATTACATGGTTTTCTGGTTTCCAACAGCTTTGCCATTTATTGGCATTTCTCAAATAAGGAAACATCTTTCATGTTTATTCTCATTTTGTACTGTGTGTGTGCCTGTGTCATGGCACCTTTTGTTAGAGAAGAGCCCCAGCCTCCAAAGGAGATGACTAAGCAAGAAAGCAGGTTCACCTGCCACAGCTCCATTGGTACCAATGTAGATGAGATTTCGTGGATCAGATGAAGAAATTTGTTTTTCAACACAGCATACAGTAGGAGTACCAGCATGGTAGCACTGGTTGGCCTGTCCCTAAGTTCTATGGAGTAAATGCAATGGGCCCAGAGAGTGGCTGCACATGCAGCGGTTTGCACCATGACCTGAGGGACCCAGGGCCAAAGGCCTAGCATCTTTTGTGGCAAGTAGCAAACAAACCAGCCTCCATCCCTAATGGAGTGAGCTGTTCCATGGTAGTTATGCTGTGGTCATCTTAACCTACTTAAATACCAGTGTGACTAGCTAGAAATGGTTCAGTATTAGGGAAAAGTTAGGCCTTGTGTTGGCATACTTAGCAAGCATGTGCAGAGATGCTCAAGGCCACAGCAGACTGCCTTTCCCAGTAGAACTCAAGGCCTGTCATCATCTGACTCTAGCTTATCTCTGCAGTGTTATCTTACTCAATTTTTTTTTAGTGCTCTAAGTTTTTATCATTCTGGACTATTCACCAAGGCCACTTTTGCTGTTGTATTCTTCTAACTACTGATTCTCTCCTCTTATCTCCTGCCACACTGCAAGATTCCTGAGCACAGACAGTAATTGCTAAAGAAATGTGAGAAGGATGAAAGTGCTTGAAGTTGTGACAACTGCATAAGAAAACTGTATGTCGTGATGCTACTAAGGGACTGTATTCATATTGAATGGCTTCTATATACAAGGTCGAGGCATAGATGGATCCATAGAAAAGCTTAAGATATCTTTATCGGCTGGGTGCGGTGGCTTACGCCTATAATCCCAGCACTTTGGGAGGCCAAGGTGGGTGGATCACGAGGTCAAGAGATCGAGACCATCCCGGTCAACAAGGTGAAACCCCGTCTCTACTTAAAATACAAAAATTAGCTGGGCATGGTGGTGCGCACCTGTAGTCCCAGCTACTTGGGAGGGTGAGGCAGGAGAATTGCTTGAACCCAGGTGGCGGAGGTTGCGGTGAGCCGAGATCGTGCCATTGCACTCCAGTCTGGGTAACAACAGTGAAACTCCGTCTCAAAAAAAAAAAAAAAGATACCTTTATCAATCAGCGTCTAATCAGTAGACAAACCACACTCATTTGAATAGGGAAAGTTTAATATATAAAGAATTATTAGGTATAACAGGGTGTTGGAATAATGAAGCAGTGGCTAATAAGAACTAGAGAGCTGGCCGGGTGTGGTGGCTCATGCCTGTAATCCCAGCACTTTGGGAGGTGAAGTGGCGGATCACGAAGTCAGGAGTTCGAGACCAGCCTGGTTCATATGGCAAAACCCCATCTCTACTAAAAATACAAAAATTAGCCAGGTGTGGTGGCATGTGCCTGTAGTCCAAACTACTCAGGAAGCTGAGACCGAAGAACCAGGAGGTAGAGGTTGCAGTGAGCCAAGATTGTGCCACTGCATTCCAGCCTGGGCGACAGTGAGGGCGACTCCCTCCATCTCAAACAACAACAAAATAACTAGAGAGCTTTAGAGAATAGCAATAGCAGATATAAGAAAGAGCTGCTACCCTAATGCTGCAATAGAGTTCCCAAGGAGAAGCCTCTCCCCTCCAGCAAGGGCTGATTGAGACCCTTTTGAAGAGAGAATGGCTGTGGCTCATTAAATGGCAAGAAGTCATTGGGAATCTGCCAGTGAAATTTGCCATAAATTCACCCTCTAAAATTTTCTGGCACTTGTAGGGTCCTGAGGAAACCTATTAATGGGGAGGGGTCTCCTGGAAGCCTCTGCTATAAAACTGCCCAACAGGGTCCTAAGGAATACTGCTGGCTGCTGAGTGTTTCTGGCCACCAATCACAGCAGGAACAGATGTGGAGAAGATGCTGTGCTGCAGAAGTGTGCCAGTGAGCACAATGGGACAAGGAAGCAAAACCCATTCCTTCTGAAATGCCTCTTCAGGGCCTTCTACCTATAAAGCATATCGTCACGATAGAGAACAAAGGGAAAAAAAATTTAAGGCTCAGACCCTTTTTCTCAGAGTAGGCACCGAAGGATGAATTTGGTGCCAAGACCAGCTCGGTTGTGGAGATCCCAACTCAGGCGGCACTGAAGGAATTAAGAAACAGACACAGAGATAGAGAGAAAAAGGTGTGGGACAATGGGGCCTCAGCATTCCCAGGTGAGAGCCTCGAACAGTTTGACCTTCACATTTATTGTCAGCAAGCAAGTGATAATCATCATTTAACTAAAAGCATTCTTCATAGGGAACAAAGCATCCTTTTCTAGTGGCAAGAAAAGGCCTCTGGCGTGTTTATCTACTGCAACTGGAACATGTCATTAAGGCACAGGTCACTCATGCTATTATTGTTTGTGGTTCAGAAGTGCCCTAAGCGGTCTTCCTCCCAAGAATGGGTCAGGTATTTCTTTCCCTTGCTCCAGTAAACCAACAACCTCTAGTAATGTGCGTCACTGCCATTCCGAGAATGTCACAGTGTTATAGATATCCTGTTTATGGCCAGTTTCTCAGTTTCTTTAAGGCCTGTTTTCTTTTTTTTTTTTTGAAACAGAGTCTTGTTCTGTTGCCAGGCGCCAGGCTGGAGTGCAGTGGCACAATCTCAGCTTACTGCAACTTCTGCCTCCCGGGTTCAAGCATTTTTCCTGCCTCAGCCTCCAGAGTAGCTGGGACTACAGGCGTGCACTAGCACGCCCAGCTAATTTTTGTATTTTGGTAGGGACGGGGTTTCACCATGTTGGCCACAATGGTCTCGATCTCTTGACCTCGTGATTCTCCCGCCTCAGCTTCCCAAAGTGCTAGGATTACAGGCATGAGCCACTGTACCCAGCCTAAGGCCTGTTTATGTCAGGCTTAGGGCCTGCTCCCAGCATTTGAACTTGAGAGACAAAGTATTGATAACTGACACAAGGTCTCATGTGGTTGTGTATTAGTCCATTTTCATGCTGCTGATAAAGACATACCGAAGACTGGAAAGAAAATGGTTTAATGGACTTACAGTTCCACATGGCTGGGGAGGCCTTACAATCATGGCAGAAGGCAAGGAGGAGCAAATCACATCTTACGTGGATGGTGGCAGGCAAAGGGAGAGTTTGTGCAGGAAAACTCCCGT